CAGGGTTAGAATTTAATTATCAATATATGTGTGAAATTTAAAATATCTAGATATAACAAAGTAAGTAAATTGCATACCTAATATGAAATTTCATAGATATTCCATAAATTTTGTAGAAATTGGTAGAAAGCCACCATGTTAAGGATTTGCAAAAATCCTTCTCCTCTTGTACCACGTGAATGACTAACTCTTAATGAATTGATACTGAATAATTTGTGTAAAAAGAGGACCTAACCTTTAATTTAAAATTAGAATCTTATTAATAATCCCCCCAATGGTTTATTGGGTTTAAAGTTACACTAAACATCCCTACATTATTCCGACGAGATGTTTTAAACTGATATAAATTATCACAATGATTGGACTTCTCACAAATATCTTAATATTTAAATTAATACAAATCAACTTGTTTTGTTAAATCAAAACCACTAATTAATGAAAGCCCATAGGCCCATACAATCAAAAATTGAAAATTAATTAATAGTATAAGATTTTAAATTTAAATCATAAACATATAGAGATGGGTGAGTAAATAAATGATAAAGATTATTTTTTATTTTACAATAAATAAATAATAAAAAATTATCTCTTATTTTTCAACTCAATTTTTATTTTTTTAAAAGGAAAATTCCTCAAACTAAGAGCTTCACAAAGTCCAGGAAACATACTCCTATGGAAATGGGTAAGAAACGAGAACCATTCAAGGTGCCCCCCACTTTCTGATATTCAAACAAAGAAACAACCAGACACAAGCTTCGTTCTTTTCTCTAGTACCATATTCTAATATGCTCTTGCCCCCATACATGTAAAGGTCTGAATATTATTTCTCATGCAATGGGGACAAAAGAAGAAAAAGATAATGGGTCCTTCTTCACTTCTTTGATTTTGGCTGTAACTTACTCTTTTTCCATTAGTATTTACATATGGTATGATATCCACTGTAAAAGTATTCCTGAATCAACTCTTCCCAAACAAATTTAAGATCACATCTTACACTAACATTATACATTTAAAGAAATTTATTCACATATGGTATACTATTTTATTTTCTAAAGAGAGGAGAGGAAAAGAAGAAAGACAAAAGAGAATGGGGACAAAATGGACGCGGCTGGTTCGCCCTGTAAGCAAAGGAGCCTAAAACAGTGACACATGACAAGTGCCTGCAATGATGCTTTGTGGAGCGTTTCATATGCGGACAAAAGACCGAGCCCCTCACTTCCGGCGCCTTTCTTGGTCCCCATGAAAGGGGGAACGAGGTAGCTTGCCTTCTCCCCATTTTTT